TCTTCTGGTTGTATGTTTTGATCTTCTTTATCACCAAAGTAAGATTCTATGGTCTGACCTTTTTGCACTGTTTGTTTATGTTCCTAGCCAATTACTTGAGTTTTAAACTCTTTGTTAAGGTAGGAGTCTGTTTCCAGTGTGAAGAATGTACTGTCCCAATCTTTTGGGGTTTTGTGCAGTTATTTTCAGAGATACTTCTAGGAACCTGTAAATTTTCAGTTCTTCCAAGGTGGCATGATCAAGGGCAAAGTGTTTACTCCTCTCCTGGCCTGGGCTCTGGTCTATGAGTGACCACAAGCACTCTTTTCTGCCTTGGAACTGGGAGGAGAATTCCTTCTCCACCACCACTACAAGCTCCACCATGCCAGTGCTCCTCCTTGTCCCAGGACTGCCACCTAGAACTGTGAGCCAGATCCAAGTACAGGCAAAGCAATAAATTCCTGCCTCAGCGCCAGCAAAGAGATCCCCCCTCTGATCAGCTGCTCACTCCCCCCTCAGTCCCTGGGCTGAGAGCACTGGAAGCAGCACCTGCCCCGGGAATAGGGCTGGGATCAAGCTTCTCTCTCACCGTGGTCACAGACCTTTTCTACTGACCTTCTAAGTTGTATTCGGCGTTTATGGGTTGAGAAGTCTGGAAACCACCACAGCTGCCTGTGGTGCAGTTACTTGAGGCCTGTTCCAGGTTTGCTGAGGCTTGGTCTTTGCCTGTGCACCCACGTGTATCTCCCAGCCTGGCGCAAGAGACCTTTCCAATCAACCATCCAGGTTGTCTTAGGCTAAAAATTTGTTTCACTCTGTCTGTTTGTGGGTTCTGCTGCTCTAGAATTTGTTTAGAGCCATTTTTACAGGTATTTGGAGGGGTTTGGGGGAGAGTTCAAGCAAGTCACTGCTTTTACTCTGCCATCTTGGCTCCGCCCCCCAATTCTACTTTTTAAAGAGTTTTTTTCCTTTAGTGAATTTTTGTGCCTCTTTTTCCATTTGTCAGTCATGCTTTTCAAGGTATTCTTCTCCTCATTAACTTTTTGTACCTCTTTTTACCATTTGGACTAGTCTGTTTTTTAAGGTATTATTTTCTTAAGTTTTTTTTGTGTCTCCTTTACCAAGCTATTGACTTGTTTTTCTTGATTTTCTTTCATCACTCTCATTTCTCTTACCAATTTTTCCTCTACCTTTCTTACTTGATTGTCAAAATTCTTTTTGAGCTCTTCCATGGCCTGAGACCAATTCACATTTTTGTTGGAGTCTTTGGATAATGGACCTTTGACTTCGTTATCTTCTTCTGAGTATATGTGTTGATCTTCCTTGCCACCACAGTATCAGCACATAGAAATGTGCTCAGAATTTTTTCTGTTGTTTGCACATTTTCCCAGCCTATTTCTTGACTTTAAACTCTTTATTAAGGTAGGGTTCTACTTTCAGTGTCGAGGGTGCATTATCCCCAGCTTCAAGGATTTTGTGCAACTGTTTTCAGAGATACTTCTAGGGACCTGTAAGTTTTCAGTTTTTCCAAGGAGTTATGATCTAAGGAGAGGTGTGTTTACTCCTCTCCTGGCCTGTGCTCAGGTCTGTGAGTGACCACGGGCACTCTTTTCTGCCCTGGAACTGTGAGGAGGGCCCCCACTCCACTGTGGCCACAAGCTGTGGTGTGCTAGTACTCCTCCTCACTCTGCGACTGCCTCCCAGCACTGCAATCCGTACCTGAGTGTGGGCAAAGCAACAGTCCTGCCTCAGTGCTAGCAAAAAGACCCGTGTAATCTCCTTCTGACCAGTTGTTCACCCCCCATCCGTTACATCTGTGGGCTGAGAGCTCCAGAAATAGCTGATCCCACTGCTGAGAAACTAGCTCCCAAGGCCTGCTCCAGGTTTGCTGGGACTGTGCTCCACTCTCACCTAGGTGCAACAGACCTTTCCTATTGATCTAAGTTGTCTTTGGCTGGAAAATTATTTCACACTGGCCTTTACCTTTCTACTGCTCCAGGAATTGTTTAATGGCATTACTTCAAGGTGTTCAGAGGGGTTTCAGGGAGAGCTCAGGTGAGAATCTGCCTTTTCTCCACCATCTTGGCTCTCCCCACCATGATGCTGCTTGCTTTTTATCTGGTGATCTGTAAAAACAAAACAAAACAAAAAACCCCAAAACTGTAACTAGTCCTGCACTACTGCTCTTCTCTCTTTCTTCCTCATCCATCTCCCCCAGACTACATACTCCTCCTCAGCCTCACCCCACTCCTGCTTCTCTAGCCTCTAGGATGGTTAGATTCACTGACCTCAACTCACCCTCAAAGTCAGGTCCCTCAATACTGCTAAGACAATAACTGAACATTGGTATGTAAAATTGCAGCAGACAGAAAGGGTTTGCTTCCAGTGGTCACTCCACTCCATTGGGCTAGATGAAGTATAAGGGTTGGGGAGGTGCTAGTGCCCAAAGCAGTGGGAGCGTCCCCTGGCCTTTGGAAGAGATGTTTCCCATAGATCACTCTCAAGGTATTTATTTCCAAAAGAAAGTAGGTCCCTAAAATTGCTGCAGGGCCTCCTCGGGCTGGATGTGAATTGAGGGAGAGGGAAGAAGCTGTGGGAGTAACTCATCAGGAGTACTGAGTTGATGAGTCAGTCTTCAGTTATTTTTTTCTTCAAGAATTACCCTTTCAAGGGTTATTTTTTTCCATTTTTAGTTTTTATATAATTGTTGAATCTTTTACATTTTGGAGTCTTTACTTATATTCTGGGGGTTGGAGGCCCTAAGAATTGCCCCTAGGATACCCCTCACTTTGTAGGCCTCCCAGGATTCTGCAAATTTATCAAAGGAAAAAACAATGAAGCAATTTGAATATATTGGATACTAATTAACTTTAAGAATTATTCAAGTCAGCAGTTCATGAAAGCAAAGACCTTTTAGATGATTGGAGATTAAGATATAACAAGTGGGAATGTTCTTCCTGATTCAGAGTCAAAGTAGACAAAATGAGTCATGTGTACAAAATGAGTTGTACAGTCACTCCCAGCTTTAGAATTCAGTGATTCTAAAACAGGTGCTGATGTTAGAAACAGAGTCAGTGGAAGCAGGATCTATTTAGTAGTTCTCACATCTGAGTTGGACCTCAAGTGTCATTGTTATTATTTTTACTTGCATTAGTCTAAGGACATTTTCAAGTTATACCTATAAGACAGCTCAGACTTAATTCTAGTGCTCACCAAATCGGTGTTCAGTTTTTCATTCTTACAACACCTCCAGTGATTTTCTTAAAGTGTGTCTCATTAATTTAGTTGCTTTTTGATCAGAATAGTCAGTTGTGGAAAGGTGTTATGGAAAGTTGGTACACTAATGCATCATTGATAGGATTGTAAATTAGTTAATTGTTCTGGAAAATAATTAGGAATTATGCAAATAAAACGTCTAAAATTTCTATACCCTTTGACTCAGAGATTCTACTGTGAGGAGTTTAACCCAAGGAGGCCATTGACAAAAAGAAAGGCTCCATAAATAGCAAAATGTTTATGCAGACACACGCACACATACACACACACACACACACACACACACGTGCAAAGCACTTTTCAAATGCCTCGTTTTATCCCCACAACAACTTTGGAGGTAGAAGCTACTATTATTCCCATTTTACAGATGAGGAAACTGCATCTGAGGGAGGTTAAAGAATTGCCCAGGTTACATATACCTAATAAGTATCTGAGGTTTGATTGAGTCTAAGTCTAGTGTTCCATCTTCTGTGACACCTAGCCCCCCTGTTACTTTTTATGTTATCAAAACATTAGAAACAAAGTAAATACCCATTAGTTGGAGGAATGACTAATCAAACTGTGGTACATGGATGGAATGCAGAGGTTCTTCACTGGGGGTCCATGAACTTTTTTTTCTTCAGTATATTTTATAACTTTTAGTATTCTTTGTTTCCTTTCTAATCCTATGTATTTTATTTATTCATTTAAAGGCATTATTCTGAGAAGGGATCCATAGGTTTCTCTGGACTGCCAAGTGGGTAATGGTCCATGATACACAAAAATGTTAAGAATCCCCAATGTAATGGAATATTACTATGCTATAAGAAAAGATGAACATAGTGAATACAGAGAGTCATGGAAAGACTTATAGGAACTGATGAAAACAAGACACACAACAACCACACCAATGTAAATAGAAAGAACAAACATTCCCAAAACAATTTAAAACAAATATTCCAAAATTATATAGAACAAGCTTGACCCAAAGAATAGATATCAGAAGATACCTCTTTTTATTGCTTTGCAAAGATGGGGGTTGGGAGGACATGGGTGTGGAACACTGCATTTAACATCAGATCATATATACATATACATACTATTTATATATACATATATATACACATACACATTATATATATGTATGTGTGTGTGTATTGATTGATATTTTTGTCTTCCTCTTTTCTTCAAAAACAAAATCTTTGTTATAAGAGATAATGCTTTGGGATGGGGAGAGAGAAATATAGGGGGAGATCTTAGGCAATATAAAAGCAAAAGGTACCAATAAAAGTCTATTTAAAAAAAAAAGATATAATACTTTTAAATCTTTCAAAAATAAAACACAAGCCAGCAAATTCTTTCCACAAAAATCTTACTTAGGAACACCTGTTCTTAACTTTTATGCCATACATACATACGTACATACATGGATATATTCATATTCATATATACACGACTACATATTAGCTTGCTACCCTCTTTACTTTTACTTTCTAACCATGAAAATTATTTAAAGGATCAAATATAATATGCCTTTAAATGTCAACTTCTAGCTCATCTAAGGAGATTAACTAAAAAGAGTATAGGTTTAATACAAGTACATTATAAGCCACTGCTTATTCTATAAAATTGTTGCCCTTTTTGCCAAGAATATATATTTCTTTGGAAAATTTCTGGTGTATGTGTCCTTCACTAAGTGAGAGGGAACTATTTTATGAGAAAGCAAAATGTAATTACTGTTTAATCCTTTGATTTTTTTTTCAAAGGCTTGGCCTGTCTGTAGAAGATATCTTTCAGAACTGGCTTGATACTTCTGGAATACCAAAGGTAATCCCCAAGTTGTATGTTCTTAAAAGCATTTGTACAGAGTGATTTACAGATTTTTACTTAGTGTACTATTAGTGTTATGGTGGCAGTAAATTTCATTTCAGGCTGTCTACCAATGGGAATACCATTGGCCAACTATCTAAGTGACCATGTGCTTTCAGCAAGGTGGCACAATATGAATTGCACATTAAATAAAGTAGTGTAATACCATGTTATCCTTTGTATAGGGATACAAAGTGAACCATTTATCAATTCCATTGTGCTGGAACTCATAATCTGGCCACCAATGCCTTTCCCTCCTCCTATCCCTATTTCTACTGATTTTTACCACCATACTCCCAAGTAATCCAGGCTCAAAACCTTAGCCATCCTTCCTTTCCAGTCACATGTCATACACCCTTTCTTTACATACTAGAGATTTCTATTTTCATGCCTTTTTTCATGTTATTCCTATGCCTGGAATGGATTCCTTTCTTCCTTGTTTTTCCCCCTTCTTTCAGCTGGAGTCCCTCCCTTTCTTCAAGGCCCAATGCAGGATCATTTTTTCCATGAAGGTTTCTCTGATTCTTCATGTTCTTAGTTGAAAATGATCCATACTTTAAATTTTTCATAGCACTTTGGGAGCTTATACATTACCTTGCACTTTTCATATTCTTCTTTGTGTCAAAGATATCTATATACATGGGTTTTTTTCCTCCTGATTAGATAGTGAGCTCCTTGAGATCAGTGTCTGTGTCACAATTACCTTTATATCCCCAGCAGTTACCATAATACCTTCCACAATTATTTAAACCAAATTGAAGAGCCAAGGAAACACTGGTTCCTCATTGGCAGTCTACTGATACATACGGTCCAGTTTTACTAATTTACCCTAAGAAGGGCCTGAATGCCTCAGAACATCAGTGGAGCAAGAAATTGAGGGTCAGAAGATATTGCTCTCTGCTCCCCTTCCATCCATCCCTCTACTCTGCTCTAGAGGCCCGTTCCACTAATGTGAAAATTTGGGCTGATGATGTCATTAATTCACTTTCCTGAAGAATACTCAGAATATCTATAGAACACAATACATGGGTTTTGGGTCTTATTTCATTGGTGTGGTTTAGCCCTAATGGGAAAAAGAACTGCTAATAATTTACCAAGGGTAACAAAGCCTTGAATGGCTGCTTTCACATATGGGGTGGTTTTTCATAAAGCTGTTCTTTAAGAGGAGGCAGTTTGGTATGGTGGGAAAAGTGCTGGAAGTAGAGTGAGAGGACTTGGTTTAAAATTTCAGCTTTGCCCGACTACCTTTGTGGCCTTGGGTGAGTCACTTAACTTCTCTTCCATGTATAATGGAGCAGGAATATGATTGACCAATCCCCACCTTCCTTAGTTAACACAGTCATTGAAGGCCCAGGTTCAATCACAGATTGTTAATTGAGTTACACAGGTTATAGAAATGCATTTAGGCCAACCCCTCTGTAAGGGAAGAATGTTCCTTGATTAAATCTCCAAGGGACAATTGGATTGACTAAGAAAAAAATTAATCACCTCCTTTTGAAAGTTAGCTGAGTCCTGAATAGCTCTAGGCAGTATGGCAGTCAAAGCTTAAGGACACCTCTACAGGGACAGAGAATCCTTTCCCATCCCACCCCCCAAAATTCTTGTAATTTTGAAGGGGAATTTCTGGACCAGTAGGTAGTCCTGCTGGAGACACTACATCCAGTACGGAAAAAAGAAACACTATGGACAGGTTTGGTTACAGGGAGACAGTCACAAGAAGGAGAAAATAGTTTCCAAGATTATAATCCCTGGTGATTGAGAATTAGGCCGTAGGAAGGAATATACCCTGGAAACTTAGTGTGAGGTTTCTAGGAAGAAAGAAAGGACTTTCAAGCCCTGCAGTACTAGGAGTTGTGAGTTGCCTTTGCCATATCTTCTACATGTCCCTTACTAGTATTGTACTCTAAGTTTGAGCACACATTTCCCATGGAGGCTGTGTGCAGTTGTGGGAGACTGTGCCCCAGATTTATAGGAAGAATGTTTTGTACCTACTGTTCTTGCTGTGTGATCTGAGTAAAATGCCTTTGATTTAAAAACAAAAAATAAAAAACCAACAACCTAGTTGTGTCTACTGGCTAATTCTTAACGGGAAGCACACCTGTGGAGGCTCATGAGTAATAGTGTTTGAAATGTAGCTCCACAGGGTTACCTTAAAATCTGGGTACCCAATCTGTCAGTGTGAGTGCAAATTGGGGGAGTACTCAGTGGGAGTATTAAACATAAAATGAGAAGGGTTGGATAAGATGACTTCTGGTGTCCCTTTCAACTCTAAATCTATGATCTTATGTCCTAAGCTGGTCCAACAAACTTTAGACCTCAACAGATCCCGGGATTTAGAGCTGGAAAGGACTTACAGCTCATCTGTTCATATCTGGCCCATTTCAGAGATGTGGAAACTGAAGTCTACCTATGCTTACTGACTTGCCTAATGTGACAGAGCCAGTGGTAGAGTCAGAATCTGAACCTAGATTCCCCTTTGCCTCAGTACACTGTACTTCTTTTCTTAGTGAAAGCCAGGCTTTTCACATATACATTCATTTATATACATTTATTATGTTGAATACCTAATAGTTGAGTTTTGCATTCTCAAAGGAAACATTTGCTGTGAAACCTCTAACACTAAGTTCTACAACTGGCTGTTTTAAAAGTCTCCCAGGGATTTTTAAGGATTGGAGGAGGGGTATCACAGGAAGTCAAGAAAGCTGATTTCCATATTTTTGTCTTGTGAACAACTGAGTTGCTGTTTGGAGAAGTTGGCCCTGAGGGAAGAGAAAAGAAAGAGTCCTTAATTTTGTTCCTTTAAGCAGGGATACCCAGCATCAGGCTGAGAACACTGACACTGACCTTGGATTTAATCCATTCTCAGAAGGGTGGTCTTTGTATCCCCAGCACTTAGTACAATGCCTGACATACAGTAAGCACTTACCAAATGCCTTTTGAATGACTGACTTATTGTGAGGAGGTATCTGTTATTTACCCTTGAAAGGGTTTGTCCATCACTAAACCTGCTATTTTACCAAGGAAAAAAGTAATTAAAAAAAATTAGAGGAAAATTTAGGTCTGTGTAGTATATTTTTTCCTAAAGTTTTAGTAGCACTGGTTAATAGCTTCTAGTGTAGACAAATAACTATGCTATCAACTAATGGAGCCCATTATAAAAACATAGCCAGATGCAGTGGGGCTGACCTAGCTATAAATTGTCTTTTAGACCAAACTGGTATTTCTTTGGGTGTTTAGCTGTTCTGTAAAAACAACAGGATCAGACAGAAAGGATGGTGATTTAGTGTTTTTCTTTTCCTTGGAGGATGATCAGACTGCTCCTTTTAATCTTTTCCACCCATTTCCTCTGATTATTTATATTTTTTGATGGTGATTTACCTGCTTTCAGCACTTCTCATGCTCTCTGAGAGTAGGTTTCCACTTCAGTGAAAGAAGCTTCGGATCAAGGAACCCCCAGGTTATGGGAGCTGCTCAGTGAATGGGATACCTTGTTCTTTGTTCACTTCATTATAATATAAAGTTACTAATATGCCAGACCAGGACTAACATTACCAGAGCTCCTAACGTTGCTCAGAAGCCCTTTGTTCTGCCTTTTAATTTTTGTGGCTGGGCAATTGAAGTCATTCATGACAGGACATTCACATTACACTCATGAAGTTTTCATCCAAAGAGATGTTTTTGTGTTCTGCCAAAATGGCATATGCTGTGGTTGGCTTGGGTTATCCTCATCAACCACACTAAATGGAAATCATAAAAAAAAAAAAATCTGGAATTAGCTAGCACAGCAATGGAGAAATAAGTATGCTCCCTAAAGAAGTAAAGAATTCCTATCCCAGTCTCTGAGTGGCAATGCCTATGTACAGCACTTTGATTTATAAACAAACCTGAAACCATTTGCCCCTTCAACATTAGGAATAATTCTTCATAAAAATATAACTTTCTCCTGGTAATGCTATTCTACAGATAGATTTTAATTTTCTGATATGCATAAGTTGGAGGGATCCTTACCACCCTTTTTGCATACCCATTTCCACATATACAAGAAATAACTAGGGTCTTTTCTAACTAAGATATCTGAATGGGTTAGAGTCAAACAAATAATTCCACATTTATTAAGCACCCACTGTGTGCTAGGCATCATGCTAGGGGCTGGTGCTGGGGAGATAAAGAGAGATAGGACAGAAAGCCTAAATGCCCAAAAGAATTTATAATGGGGTTGCAGGTACAGAATGTACATATAAGGAAAACACAATAAATGCAAGGGAGAAATCTAAGCAAAGTAATTATAAACATATCACCTTGAAGTGTACATTTGTATAGTAGTGGGGGATGAGGAGTCAGGAAAGGCTTTATGAAAAAGGTAGCACTTGAGTTGAGCATTGGAGGAAAGGAGAAAATTCATTTGGTGGAGATCAAGGAGAGAGGGAGAGAAAGACAGAAGGCTATTCTAGACATGAGGAAGAGAAGATAAAAACAAGGAACTAAGGATTTGGAAAGAACATGAGAGTATAGAAAACTCATGCATTTGAATTAGCTTATCCCTCTGCCCGGAATATTCCTTCCTTGTCTGGTCCTTATCATTCTTCAAGGTTCAGCACAAATCTTTTTAGTGAAGTCTTCCCCAATTCCTACCCTCCAGTTTTCCATGCTCTCTGCCTCCTCAGATCCCCTTGTATGTACTTATCTGTGCACATATATATTCTCCTTCCCCCTTCCCCTACAATATAAACGTCTTATGGACAGGAACCTATTTTTGGTATTTGTACTCTCAACTCTTGTAGCACTGTATATACTTTATTTAGTAGATCATGGAAAGGCAGTGAAAGGTGGTGATAGGATATGATGAGGGCATCACATCCTGATGATTGATCTGAAGGATGGATTAGAAAGGGAGCAAACTAGAGTCAGGAAGACTAGTAAGTAACAAGACTGTTTCAGCAGTTCAGGTGAGAAGGCAT